CCACGTGTAGCCAAACCTATTAGGCCCTACTTTACTCTTCCTGCCACTCGTTACCTTTCAATACCTGGTCCTAAGCCTGGGCTCATGGCAGAGCCTCGGAACACACCCAGCATGTACCCGTTTCCTTCCTTTGCCGCCAGGCCTGCAATTCATCCCTTATGAAACTGCGTGCACTAGCTTGTGTTCTACAGCACGTTTTGAGGAGAACCCCGGCTCTCTCCAACTGGGTCACTGCAGGGATGGCAGGGAGCAGCGGCTCGGCTCAGGAAAGTGCCAGCCAGTGCGATGGAGCAGCCGCCTCTTCCCGGATATGAAGACTCAGGTAACTAGACCTCAGCCTGATGAAAATTCTTGGGCAATATTTTCTCCTTTCAGCTGCAATATCTTTTAAATGTAGCATCTTAAAAAAAAAAAACTAGGTGACATAAGAAATTATTTCCATATCCCTTGAAAATGATAAGATTAAAGGAAATGAGGAAAATAATTACTAGTAAACATTGTGGGCTTTCTTCTGGTCATAAAATAACACCCTTAATGTGGCTGTTACTCGCTCTATAATCTTGCTCTATTGATTTTTGCAGTGAATGGGAAAGGAAGCCACCAGGCATGAATTAGTGAACTGAAAATCAGTCTTCAATAACTAATAATTGGGAAAAAGTGAAGAAGAGTTTGCAAATGTAGATCTCTGACTCACGAAAAAATTGGCTTCTGAAATGATGCACTTATTTTTATATTTGGACACATTTGGTTCAAAACATCAAAATATGATTCAAAAAATTCAAAATTTTGTGGTTAGGATAATGTGGGTGATCAAGTCACTCGACATATGGCATTTCCAAGAGGGTAATGACATGTTTTCTAAATTCTGCAAACAACTAGGCCTTTCCAAATGTAAAAAGCAAAGCAATGCCGTCCTCCAGAGTCCCGGCGTCAACTGGTAATTAGACCATTTCCTGGTGCCGAGGCTGCAGAAGGGCAGGGTTATGGGTCTGAGAAGCACAGGAGAGGTTTCGGCAACCTCCAAGCCAGAAGGTTTTATTTGTAGAAGGATCTAGACTGCAGTCTATGTCACGTAGGGGCTCCTATATCACATGAGGGCCTTAGGCTTCCAAGACTCTGAACACAGGGCTGAATACTGACCCGGCTGCTGCGACCGACTCCATTACCATGGGCAGGACCACCCCCCAAGCCCTGCTTTCCTGTCTGTATGATGAACACTCCACCACCAGGGTACGGGCGAAGCAACCAATCAGGGCCCACAGCAAAGCAGGCGCTCAGCCGGGAGGCGCAGACTAGAAACTAAAGAAGAGGAAGCTGGATCCGGTGCTAGGGCTCATCCACCTATCTGCTGTGTGACCCTGAAAAGCCACCTGACTCTGCGAGCCACTGAACAGGGAACAGAAACTTGGGGTGGGGGTACAACTCTGAACTACAGAAGACCACAAGGAGCGCTTGCGTGGTTGACACGAGTTGAGGTGAACAGAGCCCTCCGAAGTAAGGCAGTCACACTGCTGCCTTGAGAACTGGTGACAATTATTGCTGACAGGGATGACTGAACTACCCATCAGCAACTTGGGACGACCTGGAGGGAGAAGTCAGCCATGCACAGGGTGCAGGCTGGTGTGACGGGGCGGAGCCACGAGCCCCAAGTCCACCGCTGGTGGCTTTCTTCCCCTTTCACTGTCCAATCAAGCTCTGGTTTACAGAGAAAATATCAATCGGAGCAGAGATGGGGTCATTCTGTGACCGGAAGAAAGCCCACAGCTTTCACTAGTGAGGGTCAGTGCTTCTGATGCTCACGGTCTCACCCATTTTGCACCCTCAGCTTAACCCACGTGGGTAAAGAGTCTTGCAAAGTCCAGAGGACAAGAGGCAGGACATCGGCACGAGTACTGTGTGTGCTTGTATGCGGGCAGTTCCGTGGCAGGCAGGGACAGCTACAGCCACAACAACCCCCTGTGCGCATGGTAGTGTTCTGTAGCCGGATTGCTTCAAAGCATCTGGGTATTCAGAGATACAGAGCAAGTGTGTGGGTTTTTTTTTTTTTTTTTTTTGTAGTTTGGATTGGTAATGAGAGCACTAAATTTTTTTTTTTTAATTTAAAGGCAATTAAAAATAGTACCAAAACATTAGAAACAATACAAAATTTCACTAAAGAGAATAATAGGACTTCAATAATGGTTGTTATACTGTATATTGTTATCTTCAGATTAGTTGTTCAGGTTACCAGATACAAACACGCAAAATTGGTAGAAAAAAAGTTATAAAATTTAAAAAGGAGAGAGAAAAAATTAAATTATTAGCCTCTCCTCTTAATACACCTGCAGAAGTCAGCAGTACAATTATTGAAGCTATCCTGTATATCTATCTATCTATCTATCTATCTATCTATCTATCTATCTATCTATCTATCTCTTTTCACCTTCTTTTTTTTTCATTTATTACCCTTTATTTTAAAAAAAAAAACTTTTACTTGAGAGATAGTATGGTAATAATTGGTATGTCATGACAAGAAGTATGTATTTAGAAGATCAGAATGGCAGGCATTCCAAGCTTGACCAGAGCAAGTCTTGTAGGTGAAAACAATATGCTAAAATTTAAGGTTCCGGGTATTTGATCTTCTCTTGCCACCATTCATCTTCCAGCATATCTTTCTATCTATCTATGTATTTATTTTTGGTACCAGGGATCAAATTCGGGCTTGATCAAACTTAAGGACCTTGGGCTTGCCAAACAGGCCATTATGCTATCTCTCCGGCTGGCATAGAAATTTAAATTGCTCATCTTCTGCAAATGCGGTATTTTGTCCCCTGGAAAAATCTGCAGAAAGAAAGCTAACAGATCTATCTGATAGTTCTGTCTGTCTGTCTGACTGTCTGTCTGTCTGTCTGTCGTCTTGCTCTTTGGTTCTTTTTTTCTGCAGTCCTGGTGACCAAACCAGAGCCTTGTGTATGCTAGGCAAGTGCTCCGCTACCAAACTACATCACGCACCTGTGTGTCTAAACAGGCGGCTAGCTCGTCATCTCTCATGGTCGGGACGCTGTGTTGGGCAGGGGAGCAGCTGCGGTCTGTTTCGTTCACTGACACACAGTAGAGCTCGGATTTCCCCATCGCCCAGGCTTTGTTCCACTAAGGCTATTTCTTCTGTCTGCTGCCTGCCTTCTTAGGAAGCAGCAGGAGATGAGGAACATGAGGACACTTGGCCTCCTGTAGGAGGAAACTACAGAGGGCCATGTACTCTGACTGTCCAGAATCCAACAACGCTCGCAGAAGCCAAAGTTTCCTTATCACCCATGTGAAGGCAACACAGAACGGGAACAGAGGCACAAGGTGTCTGGGCCTGAGTACTCGGCTCCCCCATGGAGCACACACAGAATACAACTCACACGACTTGCTGCTGGCCCTGCTGGCGATGGCTGGGAGGGCCACTGCCCTGCTCTCCTTTTTTTTTTTTTTGTATTTTAGGGCAGGGTCTACAGGGTGTTCATGGCCTCACTACTAGATCAGACTCATAGTGATCTGCCTTTTTCCAGCCTTCCAAGAGCTGGGATCACAGTGTGCACCACCACACTCAGTCTCAATTGCCACCTCAGCGTGCCCCAGGGGCAGGGCCGGCACAGCAGCCTGTTCTCCTAAAGTCTGCAGGATTCTTCCCAAAGCTCCACTGTGCTGAATCCTGAAACAAATGGTACCAGAGGCTTTCAGATTGAGGACCACAGACCTGCAAGACCTATTAATGCTACGTCTAAACACAGCTCTGTGAAAGCAGCCGGGAGAAATGTAATTGTAGAATTTTCTTAGCACACGTGAGACCCTGAGTCAAATCCCCAGCAGCAAACAACAAAAAAGTAAGACAAATAAAACCCAAACCCAGGCCGGACACTCCTTTCCACTGCTGATCTCATGATTTCAAATGGGCCACAATGACTCTGAAACTTCACCCAAAATGTTATCCTCCCCTCAGGCTGATCCAGGAGCCCTTCCACGCAGAGTTCTGTGGAAAATACCCAGCAGGGCAGGGATGTTCGTGCAGCGCGGCGTGGGTTCCCCTGCTGGCAAGGGCCCCCTGAGCCCCTCTTTTGGAGCCACTGGAGGTGCCCTGCAGTTCCCACTGCATTTTCAGGGGAGGTGCAGGTGAAGGCAAATGTGTGGCCATGTGTGATCCTCTTCCCCAGGCACAAGCTGGGGAGAAGGCCCTCTGCGCCTTCAGCTGCCACAGTGGAATGAGTCCAACCTCATGCCGGCTGCACAGAAATACAGGCTCCCTCCCTCGCACACCCTCCTCTCCTCCGCTGGCCAAGGCATCACCTGGAGGCAAGTTACAAGCAGAAACTGTAGGTTCACGCTCCTCTCCACGGAGGTATTCGTGCATGACAAAATCAAGGACAGTGCAGGCTGGGTCCCCCAACACAGCTGGGACCAGAACCTCCACGGAACACAGCTGTTTGGCAGAGGGGTGAACAGAGAGGGCCAGGGCCCAGCAGGTTAGGGCTGAGGCACCACTCAAGGGTACACGGTCACTCATGGGGACCTGCCTTGCTCACTCTAGACAGGCTGAAAGCAGTTCTGGGGTCTCAGGTCTCGGCAGTCCCAGCGAGTTTCCTAGGAGAGCCCGAGTTAGACCTAAGGCTGAGAATTTGCCATGTCCTCCACTCTGGTGGCCTGGCTGGTGGGAGAAGGCTGGCTGGGGCTGGGGCCTGCTAGAGCCAGGGCCATGCAGTGAGCTGTTCCAGGGTAGGCCTGGGGGGGGCTGCTGTCACAAAGGGGTGCATTGGCCAGACCAGGCTGCCGGCTGGCTGCTGTGCCTGCAAGCCCCTCCTCTGCACCTGCGTGGTGGGAGGGTGCTGCCTGCCTGGCACAGCTGCCCCCACTCCCTGGGAAAGGAGACACCCAGCGTGGCCTTGTGGCCTGAGAGTTATCTGAAGCACAGGACAGAGAACATGTGTAAATGTTTAACAGAATGAAGGTACAGGCAAAGCAAGCCACCAGATTCATCCTACCTGGGGCTTTCCCATTCCTGGTCATCCTTGTCTCTCTCCTCTTTGCCGTCTCCGGTGTGTGGGTGTTTCTGCACAATTCGCATCCCACCAGCCTTCACTGCAATGTACACAGAAGAGCTTGGGTTAGGGCAGGCAGGGGTAGCTGGCATGGACCAGGGCGTGGGGATGGGGCGGGGGAACAGACAAGAGGGCACAGCACTCAGCACCCTCTCGCTGAAGAACTTTTCAGAGCCGTGCCCAGGCGCTCATGTCTGCCTTTGGTCACCTTTCAATACTTCATAAGACAGCAATGTGACAGGACACAGGCCAGCGAAGTGGCCGCTTGCTTAGGTTCTGCAAGCCTCCTTCACCTAACAAAGGTCACTCGGCCCTGCCCTGAGGAGATATTTTATCTCCTCAGATAACATTGATGCTTTAGATGGGGTGACGTGGCCATGACCGTCACAGGACAGCTACTATGAGGTTGACAGGCATTAGCGCCCCTTTTAAAAATAGCTTTGTTGACATTAACTTATATGCAATACAATTTATCATTTTCTTTCTTTCCTTTTTTTTTTTTTTTTTTTTTTTGGTACTGGGAATCGAACTCAGTACTTTGTGCTTGCCAGGCGGGTGCTGTGGTGCACAGCTACATCTCCGGCTCCAATTCACCCATGTACACAGTGTAACACAGTGGTTCTGAGTGTATTCAGAGGTGCACCATCACTGTTCCATGTAATGGTCACATTGCGAACACCAGCCCATGCCGCGAGCTGGGGTTTCCTGTGCACCCCTCCCCAGGCTCCCGGCCACCAGTCCTCTGGTGCTCTCTGCTGTACACATCGGCCTAGAAGCAGAAGCACAAAGTGCATGGCTTCTGGTGACCGGCTCTTCACCGAGCACCTTTCCAAGGTCCATGTGTGTGGCAGCGTGGTTCAGACCAACACTCCTCTGAGCGCCAATAGTCCCTGCTGCATGGATACACTCAATCAAATCTACCCACTCTTCAGGGGATCACGTGCCTGTGGGAGATTTCCACTTTTTGACTGTCACGAGTCATAACAGTCTGAACATCATCTACAAAACTTTTTATGTGTGTAAGTTTTCATTTTCTTTTAATGATATACAAATATGTATGTAATTGGTAATTTGGTACAGGGTCTCACTGCACAGCTCAGACTTATAGTGATTCTTCTGTTTTCAGCCTTCCCGGCACTGGGATTACAGGCATGTGCCACCAACCCCGGACTCTGTCACCAGCTCAGTGCACCCAGGGGTGGGGCTGGTGCAGCATGCGGGACCGGGGATCAAACTCCAGTCCCAGTGCTTGCCTAAGCAGGTGCTTAGTCTGCTGAGCTATCTCGCCAGCCCTGGTTATTATCTTTCAGCATCGTAGTGTTCCGGGGATTAGAATGGAGATGCTGACCCTGCATCCAAAAATTTAGCTTCACAGATTGCTGGTTCTCTGAGGAAGCCGCATCTCTATTAAAGATCCTGCCGCCGACACTGGCCGAGTGAAGCACCGTCACTGCGGAAGACGCACTGTCTACCTTCTCAGGACTCAGGTAAAACTCTCAGCGTGCACTGCTGAAATGAGTGCACCAGGGGCTTCCACCGCCAGCACAGTGAGGACGGCTGCAAGCTTCAGGGAAGGGCTCCCTGCCCGGCTGCAGCCCCGCTCCGGCCCGCTCCTGTGCTCGTCACTTGCGTTAACTTCTGACTTTCTTTGTTCTGTGGCTGCAGCTGATGCCATCTCTTCTGCAAGATATATTACGCTATTCTGGGTCACTTGAGCCTGCATTCCTAGGCCACGACCACTCATATTTGGCTCAGAATAAACTAATTTCTTATTTCCTTTAAAGCATAGTTGTGACTTTTGGTTGACAGGGGTCCTCAGCAGCCTGCCTCACCGGCAGAACGAAGCCAAACTTTCTAAGACTGAGGTGTTCGGTGGTTCAACTCCCCACCCGAGTCACCAGGTCTCTGCCACTGCCCAGCTGCATCCCAGCGGTACTGTCACTCACCCTGCCACATCACATTCTCGGCTTCCACATTTGGTTGGACTTGGCCAAGTTACGGAAGTGCGAGGCAAGGTTAGAGTCCTGATGCTCCCCAGGGCGACACTGCCAGTGCCTGCCTTCAGGAAGAAGGTGCTGGCTCTTGGGGACCAGCAGTGCCCTAGCAGCTGTCTTATCAGATAGGGGCAGCACAGGGCATAAGTGCAGGAAAGACTTGTGCTGAGACGGTGCACAGGTGGGCTGAGCTACGGCTCTCTCTGCACCAGCACGTTCAATGCAGGGTGAAGTCTACTTTGGGAGGAACAGAATCCTGCCCAGAGATCTTCCCCAAACCTGCTTGGATACCAGTAAGTGACTTTCCAATCATTTTATTTCTCATTTCTAGAGCTTATGTTTTGGTCTGTAATTCAATAGGACTTTTTTTGACAGGGTCTTCGTGTTTCCCTTGAGTTTCCAGCTCCCCTAATTTTATCATCTTAGGCATACCTGCCGATGGCTGGAGGTCCTTGGGGGTCTAATCCTGCAGTTTACCTGCTGATTCTCATTCTTGGGCTGGCCACGTATGAATTACATGCTTGTAATTGTCATTACCAGATCTTGTGGTCTTGGAGAGACAACCCCCTCTGGCATCTGCTTCTGTCAGACTACAAGCCCAGGGCTTGGGGAGCTTTTTGATGGCTTTCTCCAGATAGGAAGAGCAGAGCACGTAAACCTGAACTCAACTCATAAAAATGAGTCTGAGCTTACAAGTTCTCGAGGAGACGCCTGCCACAGCTGGACCCCCGGCGGATACAGCCAGCTTCCCTGCCATCCTCCTGTGCCCCTCACAGTCTCCTCCAAGCTTTGGCCTCTGAGGATCCAGCTCTACGTAGGGGATTGGGGCCTTGCTCCACTCCTCATGTGGATCCAAGTCTCATGCTAACTCTTACTTCATCTTTCTTTGCTTTTGGTCTGTGGGAACTTCCCTCACTTTGAGCTCAGGTTTAAAAAACAAAACAAAAGCAAACAACAAACAAAAAAAGACAAAGCATCCACCATCCAAGACTTTAATCTAACATTTCCCAGCTCACATAATCTGCCACCCCTTTAGAAATGGTGACTAAAAATAAAATTCTGTAGTACATTGTGATGGTTTTCTAGTCTTGAGATGTGGGGTCTGAGAATCACGAATTTTTTCCCCAAAGGAAGGACCTAAAGCTGCCCCACTAAAGTACATAATGCGAAATTCTAATGCCCACAAACTTAGATTGTGTCTGGATTTGGAGACAGGTCCTTTAAAGAGGCAGAAGCTATGGTAGGGTAGGTACTACTCCAATGGGACTTGTGTTCTTCCAAGAGGGAGAGACAGCAGGGATCCACGTGTACAGACAAACAGCTAAGTAAGGTCACTGAGAAGACGGCCATCCACACGCCACATGCCACAGAGGCCGGCAGGAAAGCCCAGACCTGCAGCACCTGCAACCAGGAGACAGACCTGTCCGCTGTCGCAACTGCCCAGGTGTGGCATGCTTACGGCAGCCCTGGGAAGTGCACACGGGTGCCCACTTAAAAGTGACCTCAGACTCTTTGCTATCTGGCAGATATAAAACTTTTAAGCTATAATTCACAGATGTGTTCTACAAACCCACTGAAAGTAAAAAGGGCAGTGCACCTAACCACAAAGGAAGCCGATAATGACCATCAAGGTGACACCTGAAGCGACTGTCTCCAGAGGTGGCTGCAGAGTGCCCGTCCACCCCGCTGGTGAGGCAAGACCCTGTGTCAGGGCTCGGTCACCCAGCCCGAGTGCTCACATTTAATCCAGCTGCTAAAAACAATTAACTCCATCAATCCCTCTCTGTATGTATGGTGATTAACGCAGCAATAAAAAGTGGCAATAAGCATAATAACTCAAGGCTGCGACAGATTCATGGGAACTTGCACTACTGCCAAAACATATGACAGCCCATATTTATTGTGAATGTGGGATCAGTGTCTCTGAAAGTCTCCATTTGTAAAACTACAACGGCAGGATAATTTTCTCAGAAGTCTCTGCAGAATTATTTGTAAAGCTAAGTAATTTCATGAGAAACACTGGAAAGAAAGAACTCAGATTTTTGTTGCGGTGGCTGTTACTCAAACTTCACACTTAAGTAATTGCTAGTTTCCTTTTAGCAAGAGTGCTGTGCAGCGGGAAAGGGCCTGGGTGCCAGGACTGAGCTCGACAGGTTCAAATCCCAGCTCCGCCTGCGTGCTCGCGTGTGTGTGTGTGCGCGTGCATATGCACACGTGTACATGTGCCTGAGCACGCTGCTAGAGCTGGTCTCAGGCGCCTCCAGCCGTGCGGAAACAATGACGGTGTTCTGCTTCCCAGGGTAGGCGGAGGAGGCGTTCCCACTAGCTCGTGTCAAGAGCAGGTTTTACGAATCAGAACTCGGCGCTAACCAAGCAGGCCGCGGTGCTCAGGTCCTCAGTGCGTGCTGCCTCCGCGGTGGAGGACGGTACCAAGCCAGGTGTAGCTGAGGAGTGAGGAGCCTGTGACGTGCGTGCCTGCCACGGTGCTGACCAAGTGGCCCCCCGACTGTCACTAAGACTGCGGGCACCCTCGAATGCTTTGGTCATTCCAACCATCACCCTGATATCACCAGCTTTCTTTGTGGGCTGTGGCACGGCTCTACGTGCTTAGTCCGCATATCCGTGAGTCACGGTTTAAATGATTTATGCCTGCCACCATGAGGCTTCTGGAAAGTCCCAGATCCGATCAACTGCCATGCGCGCCGTCTCGTTGCTGCTGGGCCAAGCACTGCCCTGCCCACCCCGAGTGCACTCCTCCTGCTCAGGGGCAGGCAGCGCAAGGCATCCTGGGAGCTGCGCGCCAGCCACACGCTGGCCCTTCCGCCAGCACACAGAGCTGGGTGGCGCTGTGGTCCTGGCTACTGTGGCACTTCTGGGAGCACTTGGAAGGCCAAAGACTACCGAGGATCACTGGCCTTACCGCCCTGCAGCATCAGGGTGTCGCTGATGCTCACCAGGGGGCGGGAAAACCCTGCAGAGGACGGGCGGCAGCGAGCTCTCTGCGGGGCTGCTCCCTGCTGGAGGGCCCATGAGCCATGTGAGGTGTCCAGCAGGGAGGAGGGGCTGGTGATGAGCAGAAGTGTCCCCAGAGCAGGGCCTGCAGGAACTGGAGCATGACTCGACAATGTAGCTACCTTTGTTCTCCTTGGAAAGCGCTATTGAGATATTATTCAAAGAGATGCTAATCCCCCTACAGGAGCTGAGAGGTCCTCAGGACTGCTCTGGTGGGAAGAACAAAAGGACAGAAAATCTCCAGCATGTTGTAAGTTAGTATTAAATCTAATGATCTCAGGTAGAGCCCTGCAGTGGCAGTAAGCAAGGGAAATGGAATTGAATGTCGCTGTGTCCTGTGAGATTAGCAGAATTTGCTGAAGGGACTGGGGCAGGAGAACATGGTCACTGAATTCAGTTTAATTCGTTTGAGGTACTGGAGGCTGAGCTTAGGACCTTCCTTCTCACTCAGCTACATCCTGGTTGTTTTTTTAGGCAGGGTCTCGCTAACTTACTATACTGCCCAGGCTGGGCTGGAATCTGCGATCGTCCTGCCTCAGCTCCCGGGCAGCTGGGACCACAGCCATGGTCTGTCTCCAGGCAGGTACCATGGATCACGAGGGCCAGTGTGTGGCTGACTCAGGAAGGTGACACATGGGGGAGAGACAGCAGTGGCTGTGTCACCATGCCTAGATGTCAAGAGGCAGATCTGGGCAGAGGAGAGAGAAGAGTCACTTGGCAAGCCAGCAGCCTCTCTAGGAGGCTGGCATGGGGGTGGGGACCCTGTAAGGCGAAGTGGAGGAGGATAAAAGGCCAGAGGCAGAGGAAGTGTTTGGGAAGCCTAAGTACTGGAGTCCAACGGGATCGTCCGTGGTGGGGATCACAATCCAGCCCTGCATGTCCTCCCCAGGTGGGTGGGGTCCTGCCAGGGACCATGTGTACATCCAGGTGGAGGCGATGGTTTATGCTGCCACCAATTCCTGACCCTGCACCGAGGGTGGCTCTCACTAAGCCAAAGAAGGGAAATTGCCTGGCAGCTGCTGAAGCTGCAGTGACCGACAGGTCGGGTCCCATGGCATGCAGGAGCAAGAGCAGACCCGTTACCTGCGCCTCAACCTCTGACCAGTCCTGAGGCTGTGCACATGGGGAATCTGCTGAGCAGGCCTGAGACTGGGAGCTAAAAACAACAAAACGCAGATCAGCCTCTGCCTCTAGCACGCAGCAGCCCAGATCATCTGAAAACCTTCCTGCAGGAAGAGAGCAGGGAGTCATCACCCAAGAACTTTTAAGCACACCCTCAATTCCTGCTTAATACAACAGAGTTGAATTATCTGGGTTACTAAAAACAGCAAAATGGTCTATTTCCCATTTCACTTTATCATGCTCGTTATTTTCATTTGATTCAGGTCTGTGGGGGATGTTCTCTACTTTTTGAAGAATATTCACATAAAGTTAGCAAAACCCAATACATCCATGTATTGGGAGGCTTCACCGTCACAGGGTTTGGGTTCCTCTCGGAAACGGGGGTGTGTGAGAACAGGGCCAGCAACGTGTATCTAGTGATTTATCCTTGTCACTGCCAAAGCTCAGAGGCCGGCAGTAATAGTGTGGCTGCAGCCATGTCCTCCCTTCTGCTGGGGAATGTCGCTACTGCTGTTAGATAAAGCAGAGAGCCTCCTCTAATTCTATTTGCTAATCTAGGTTAATAGTGATTCTCATCACAGAAAATTTCACCCCTCCTCTGTGTATTTGTAGTGGAAAGCAGAGGTAGGGTCTCACGTCCCAGACCTGGGTTGCTTCCACCGAGACGCCTACGGAACATGATGCAAAGCAGGCAGTACTTCCTCTCTGCAGGTTACCTTCCTTCCCACTAAGCTGCCACCTTGGGAGGTGGTACCTGGCGAGGGATGGCATCCTGCGCTGGGCTGCTGCGGTTCCTTCAGGTCAGTTCCTGGTCACTGGCTCCAAGTTGGCAAGAGTGCTCCCAACAGCTTGGCTAGGTTTTATGTGCCTGTGGTATGGTATTGGGGACCAAATCCAGGGCCTCTGCACTGGGTCTACAGAAGACCCTACTGAGACAGGGTCTTGCTGAGCTGCCCAGGCAGGGCTCCAACTTGTAACCCTCCCGCCCCTGCCTCCTGAAGTGTGGGACTGCAGCTGTGGGAATGGCACTGTTCTCACTGTCCTTACCTTAAGGAAAGCATAAGGTTCTCAGAAGTGCGTGGCTATGCTGTACCATCCAACAGTCACTGTTTCACCCTCACTCCAAACTGGAGAGGGCTCCGACACAGAGCCAGGGGCTCAGCTCACGGTGCAGCAGCGAGAGGGGAGAGAAGACGGCACAGAAACCCACCTAGAGCTATTTACTGAGGCTCTGTGCCAAGCGCTGTGGGATAAAGACATTCATGCAACCCGCTGGGGAAGCTCGGTGTAGAAAGGCAGGTGCTGACAGAGGGAGGAAAGTGTAAAAGGGAAGATGGGGTACTGCAGGGATAAGGGTGGGACAGGGGACGGGTCTGAGAGCAATAAAGAGAAAACACAAAAGAACAGCGAGAGAATCACTGCAAAAGAATTTTATTATTTCTGATTGAAGATTTAAGCACAAGTCTGTCAAACAATTTAGTCACTTAATGGAAGTGTTCCCTAAGTTTATAAGGTAGTTATTTTGTTTTACAAACTGTGCTCTTGGCTACCCTTGACAGTTATCCTTTATTAGAGTAGGTTATATCTTGTTGTTTTTTAGCATTCACTCTATAAACAGTCTACTCTCTGACAATGCCAGACTGGACAAGAACACTGGGAGCTTTCTGAGTGTGCATGCTGGGGGCTCTGCGATGGGTAATGCACGACAGGGCACTGAGGAGAGGGCACCTGTTCTCCCATGCTTCCGGGAACAGGGACACACCCTTCCTTCAACTCTGCTGAGTCTAACTGGCCTTGGAGAACGCTGAGTTACAATGACAGGGACCCTCAGCACTCCTGCTAAATACGGGGTTCCCAAGCTAGGGGGCCAGGCTGGGTGTTACTAAATTTACCAGTGGGTCACCTGCCTTGGGCTTTGAGCCTGAAGAAAAGAGAGTGTTGCAAGCAGAAGAGCCAGAGTCACAGCTTCCCAGATGCAAACAGAGCCCTGAACGCCCCAGAGCAAGATCTAGGCCCACCCTCGGCCTTCACCAAGGAGGAAACTGCAGTTTCAGAGAAGTGCAGCAGCACGCCTCGTGAAAACCTGGAGCCCACGCTCTCCCGGTGACCAGCACAAATGAGTCGCCGCCTGCAACTTAAAATATTAGCTGCTCACGACTTAGAAAATCAGAATCCTGCAAGAAATTTCTCTCAAGGAGTTCAAATGTACAGTGTGTACTTCTGATTTTAAAAAAGTTTCCATCTGGTTACATCTCTATATGCAATTTAATTATTGCTCCCTAGACTTGGTATTGGTCCAACAGAAACATCAGTGAACTCGTCTCTCACCGCGGGAGGAGACAAAACCCCGCTGCTACGCTGCTAGAGGAAGGTCAATTAACCTAAAAGCAAATCCTTATGAGGGTGGTTATGTTTTGGCTTTCTTTTGGGTGCTAGGGATTGAACCCAGGGTCCCCAGCTCTCTACCACTGAGTTATACCCTCAGCCTCCGTTTTGTTTTTCTTTTCTTTTTTTTTAACCAATGCAACACAAAAGTTCCCCAAGGGGGCCGGGGAGATGGCTCAGTAGGATAAGCGCTTGACTGGCAAACTCAAGGATCTGAGTTCAATCCCCGGTTCCGCCAAAAACAACAAAACAAAACAAACAAAGCAAGTTCCCCAACCCTTTCCATTACACTGGGCCACTTTGTGCACTCTGCCTCTTAAGACAGTTGGGCATGTTTCCACCCCATGGTTACTTCTGTTGTTGTTGTTGAGAAACAATGTATTTCTGCGCTGGAATGGAGCCTATTTGAAGAAAGGTTCTGATTCCCTACAACGAGGGAGATAATTTGTGCCCTATGGGAGGGGCCGGGGAGACAGCTCTGAGCTCACAGGAATCTTTACTATGAGAAAATGCACACATGTGGCACACGAAAGCCACGTTCCTTTATGCTCCCGTTACCAGAAGACTGAGTTCTAGGGCCATCGTGTGCAAGGAAGACTCTAAAAGACCCCCGCACACTGCTGGGACTAGGCTTCTGGAACCAAGGCCTTTTGGTCACCTCACTACTGTCTGGCCATACCGGTCAGCAGAGATGGAAATCGAGCGGTACAGGATCGCACAAGAACGTGGAGTTGGCTTGGATTCCTATTTTTCAAAGAAAAATGGCTCTTTCTGAGCCTAACTTCCTCGTCTCAGAAGTTTAGAAAAATTTTTTAAAGGATGTTTGAAAAAAGGTTGGCCAGAAAGAGAGGGTAAAATAAGTCATACTGCGTCACTGATGTTAAGAATTACTGCCGCTCCTTCGGCTCTTTCGTAAAGATGCGCTCATCATATGAAAAACACTGCCTTTATTTTTCTTTTTAAAGCAGCTGCAAATTCCCACTGAATACCAACCAGTAAAACTGTTTTCAGGTTGTGCACTGCGTAGGCCACCCCATCTGCACGCATCTGCGTCGGGGCTCCTGGACGCACGCTCGGGGTGCGCAGCGCGGGCCGGCGGGGTTCGGGGCCGCACTCGCCCGCGCGGACCTGGGCGCACGCGCACGCGCACCGGAGCGCGCGGACCCCGACCCGCACCCCGGCCCTCCCTGCCCGGAGCCCCAGAGAAAGTGGAAACGAGTCAGTACCGGCGGGCGGGTGTCCAGCTTTGGTCTCTATTTTCCCTTCGGGAGGCGAAGACATGGTGACACCGGGGTGCGGAGGGGCCGGGGCCGGGGCGGGCCGGGCGGCGGCGGCGCGGA